GAACATCTGCTCAGGCTTCCCAAGCCGTTTGTAAAATAACTCTCTGATGGAGTGATAAGGTTGGAAAAACAACAGTGATGGGAGGGGAGATAAAAATAAAGTAAGGGTGGCTTGTGGTCTTTGGTGCTCAAAGGGCTTTTGATCTGTGGTCATATTTAATGTTTCCTGGAGAGTCTGCCAGCTATGGGGACCTTGGAGAGAATCCGGCCTGTTGGACTGGGAGGAAGCTGCAGCCCAGAAGTTGGATGGCTCGCAACAAGGCCACAGCGGCTGGAGAACGCAGGCTCTGCCATCCCTGGGCTGCCTCTCCTGATGGTTTACACCCGGCTGCTGTCTCCCCTCCCTCGTTTGATTTTTGTCCTGCCGAAATAGCTCTCCAGTGGGCCCCTGCGCTTATCCTTGTGGTTCCCGAGATGGCCTGCAGCCTGGCTCTGTGTCCACCCTCCTCGCTGCCTCGGGGGCGCCTTCTAGCTGGCCTGCTCTGCTGGAAGCATTTCGTGGCTCCCTCTCCCCTACGCTGTGTGGGCTGAGCCTCTCAAGCTGGCATTCAGGGCCTTCCCGTCTGTTCCTGCATCATAGATGGCACCCTCGCTGCTCGCCCCTAGGAGCAGTGGCTCTCCAACCTCATACACCTTCTGCCACACCTACCATATTACTTACCTTCCCCACCAAGTCCAGCTGCCCCCACCTCTGCCCCTGGTGTTCCCTCAGCAGGAATTCTCCCTCTCCCTCAAGACCTGGTTCTGTGGGCATCACCGCTTGCCCCCCAGCCCCTGGCTGACTCCGGGGTCTTCTTCAGGCCCTATAGTCCCCTGTGCTGACGCCTAAGGTGGTCTTTATCTTGCCCACTTGTCGTTGTCTGTGTGTGTCTTCCCCACCATGGTGAGACTCAGATGTCCATGAGGACAGGATTATGTGATCACCTGTGCACTCACAGTGCCTGGCACCAGCAGATGCGTCTGCAGAAAAGATGGACGGGTGGATGGACGGACGGATGGATGGATGGACCGATGGACAGATGGGTAGATGGACGGATGGCTACAGAGATGGATGGATGGATGGATGGTTGAATAGTGGAGTGAACATTTCGCCTGTTGCCCTCCTCCACCAGTCCAGTGTCTAGCAGGCCTGCCCAGGGGTAAAAGGAGCCAACAGGTGGCCTCTTGCATCCCTCTCCGACATAAGAAGTCTACAACCCAACCCTTCTGTCTATCCTGTGTTGGTTCCTAAAAAGCAGAGAGAGTATGATAAAATGGCTAAAAAGGCGGGATGGGGGTCACACAAATCTGTCTTCAGTCACAGCTGTGCCCTTAGCTAAGCCAGCTGTGTGACTTTGGGCAAGTAATTCAACTTCTCTGAAAGTCCATTTCTTCATCTACGTGATGTGGATCGGTAGTCCTTACCTCGTAGGGTTCTTATAAGGATTAAATGAGGAACTGCGTGGCAAGTGACCAGCCCAGAGCTGGTGTCCCATACAGGGTCACTGGATGCATGGCGACTCTATCAATCAGGACAGTTTTGATCTCAAGAATCAGAAACCTCGTTCAACCTGGCTTATAAGCAAAGGTGGCTGGCTTCCCAAGTTGCAATGATCTAACTGGCCAGGCCTGGCTCACACCCCAATTTCTAGAGTTGGGGTGAGGTCAGTCCACTAGCTGGGGGAAGCTGGGTCTCCCAGGGAAACTGGGGCACAGTAACCAGGAGAGGAGGAGTGGATGCCCAGCAGGCAGAGGCAGCGCGTGCCCATGTGACTAGCTGTTGTGGAGCGACAGAAAACTGGAGTCCTCTCATGGGTGCCCAGGGCCTGTGGGAGGTGGGGCTTGGCTGGCCCCTCCAGGGCTCCCCCTACCCTCCTTGGGTGGGAGTGACCTCTGACATTCTCCCTGCATAAGAGGTGGCCTGGCCAGAAGAACCCAGGAAAGGGGTTCCTGCCCAGACCCCGACTGCCCTTGAGCTTGGCCGGCCCCTCTCCCTCTGTGGGCCCACTTCCCCATCTGTAAAATGGGCTCATTGGAGGAGATGATCTCTTGGGTCTGCTCTCGCTCTAACCACAAGAAAAACAGCAGCTGGCATTTATCAAGTGCCCGTGTGTGCCAGGCCTTGCTGGGCACGGAGGAATCAAGATAAAACGGACAAGCCCTGCCCCCAGGACCCACCCTGGTTCCTCCCTAGCCCTTCCCTACCACCTCTCTGCTTCTCCTTCGAGTATTCATTGTAGAACCAAAAGGTCTTTTTCACTTGTTTTATTTATTGAATATAGTTTAAACATCCAAAGCAAGTATGTTGAATGTTTTTTATTTCTCACATTAAAAACGAAAAACTCCACATCTCTCCTACCCTCACAACATATCAAGAATCTGACCCCTTCTCACCACCTGGACTGGTCCTCCTCACGAATCTGAGCCACCATCATCCCTGCCCTGGAATAATCCAGGAGCCTTGTCCTAGCCCCCAGCTTCCTTGCCCACCCCTCTCCCCAACAGTCCACTCTCCACACAGCAGCCTGAGCAGTCCTACCACCTCTCTGCTCTAAACCTCCAAGAATGTCTCATCCCACTCAGAGTAAATTGGCTAAAGAAAAAACAAACTACTACCGTAGGCTGTCCTCCCCACCCCCAGCCCCACCCCCCAGTTCTGCTCTCATTTCCTGCCCCTCCACCCCTTGCTCACACCATTCCAGCTACACTGGCTTCCTTCTTGTTTTTCAGCCACACCAACACAGTCCCACCTCAGGGCCTTTGCACTTGCTGTTACCCCTGCCTGGACCGTTCTGCCCCACATACCCTCATGGCTCACTCCTTCACCTCCTTCAGGTCTCTGCGCAAAAGTCACCCATCAAAGAGGCCCTCCCTGAAAATCCTAAGATAAAACCTCTGCCCCCTCCCTTGGCTGCCTTTTTCTCTGTAACACATCCCATCAGGTAGAGTGTGCTTTATTTGTTGTCTGCCTTTGCCCACTGGAATCCCAGCTCCCTCAGAGTGGTAACTTGATCTGTCTGGATGACTGCTGTATTTCCAGTGCCTAGAGTGGTGCCCGGCACATGTGAGGTGCTCACTAAACATTTCTTAAATGGGTGAATGCTAAAGTCCCTTGCATTCCTTTTCTCATGTGGGTCCTTCGCTGTATTCCGTGTACTGACGGTCCACAACTTATAACTATTCGGCTTACGATTTTTCGACTTTATGACAGTGCAAAAGCAATATTCTTTCAGGAGAAACTGTACTTCAGATTTTGAATGTTGATCTTTTCCTGGGCTAGTGATATGTGGTACGATCCCCTCTCGTGATGCTGGGCAGCAGCAGCGAGCACAGCTCCCGGTCAGCCCCGTGATCTGGTAAACAACCGAAACACTTACACCCATCTGTACCCACACAACCATTCTGTCCCTGTCAGTACAGCGTTTAAGAAATTACATGAGAGATTCAACACTTTGTTAAAAAATAGGCTTTATGTTAGACAACTTTGCCCAGCTGTAGGCTAATGTAAGTGTTCTGAGCACGTTTAAGGTAGGCGAGGCTAAGCTAGGGTGTTCTGTAGGTTAGGTGGACTAAATGCATTTTCGACTTATGATATTTTCATACTTCCAGCTTACAGTGGGTAACATGGTAACGAGGAAGGTAACGAGGAAGATCTGTATTTTGTCTTCCGTGGGTCAATGGCTTCTGTTTGGAGAGGGGCCTCCCAGCTTCCCAACGCGGTTTCCTCCCTCCGTGACTGGGGCGTCCTTCCCCTGAAGCCTGGGGAGGGGCAGCCATGGCCTCCCTGCCTCCTCATGGCCTCTCTTCATGTTCTGTCCTGGCTCCCATTAGCCTCAGTATTAACTGAACCCCCTGATGTGCCCAGAGCACAGTGAACCACTGGGCTGGGCGTGGGAGGAGTCGCCCCTGCAGTGGCCTCTCACTCTTCTCCCACGACTGCAGACCGCTGTGTCCCAGGGGCGGCCTGCGACTTATGACCATGAAAATTGTCTTCAGCCGCTGTTGTGAAGGAGCAGCAGACACTCTTGCTAGCCTCCCAGGAACTGCCCCCAGGATGGAGCAGGGGAGGGGGGAAGATGAAACCCCCCTCAATACTGGGCCGCCTGGGTTTGTGGCCAGAGGCCAGATTCTCTAGGTCCTTCGGGGCAAAATTCCCCTAGAAATGAATCCTGAAAGGTGTATGTTCTAGAAAACCCAAGGCTGCTTAGAAAGAATGCCTTCATTTTCTGTGGGTAAAGGGGAGGGGAAGCCACAGAATCCTGGCTTGGGTTTCCTTCGGAACCTCAGTATTATGATCATGTTATTATTTGCCTATTAAGCACATACTTTGTGCCAGGCAGCATTCAGAGACCTTCATCCACATGATATTTTAGCAGCTGTGTGAGTTAAGTAATGTCCCCAATTTACAGGGAAGGAAACAGGCTAGAGAAGCGACAGGGTCTGCTGGATATCACACAGCCAGGAAGTGCCAAAGAGCTGGGATTCCAGGCCGCACTGTATATTGCCTTTTAGTCTAGTGTCAGGGGATCTCAAGACTGTATACTTTCTATTTCCTTTTATGTCTTGCTTTTGAACAAATTGCCCAGAGAAAAGGAGCCAAAGACCCTCACTACTCCCCAAGAATCCAAGGCCTCTGTTGCCTTTGCAGGGACTCTGCAGCCCAGAAGTGGCCCTTGGAGGAAGCCTCTAGATGCGGAGGGATTTGATGGGGATGGGGCAGGCAATTGACCCCAGCCTGGCTGTTGTGACAAGCTCATTGGTATTGGCCGGTCTGCGAGTGAAACAGCTCTGAATAGTGCTTCACCAGACACACGCGCGCGTGCACACACACTAAGCGTTGGTTTGCTCATCTGTGAAGTGGGTATAGTGACTTTGCTGTGGCAGCGCTGAGCAGATTGGGTGTGGCTGGAACTTTCTCAATGACCGGTCTGATTAGGATGGAATATGGAAACGATGATTAAAGCCGAACCTGGGCGGCAGAGTTCCGAGGGGGCCTAACCCTCCTGCCTGTCTCTCCCGCAGACTCGGGCCCGCCCGCGCGCCTCCTGGCCACCCGGCCGTGCTGCGGTCCCGGCCCGGAGCGGCGCCCGGTGCTGGGCGAAGCGCCACGCTTCCATGCGCAGGCCAAGGGCAAGAACGTGCGGCTGGACGGCCACTCGCGCCGGGCCACGCGGCGCAACAGCTTCTGCAACGGCGTCACCTTCACGCAGCGGCCCATCCGGCTGTACGAGCAGGTGCGGCTGCGCCTGGTGGCCGTGCGCCCCGGCTGGAGCGGCGCGCTGCGCTTCGGCTTCACGGCGCACGACCCGTCGCTCATGAGCGCCCAGGACATCCCCAAGTACGCCTGCCCCGACCTCGTCACGCGACCCGGCTACTGGGCCAAGGCGCTGCCCGAGAACCTGGCGCTGCGCGACACCGTGCTGGCCTACTGGGCGGACCGCCACGGCCGCGTCTTCTACAGCGTCAACGACGGCGAGCCCGTGCTCTTCCACTGCGGCGTGGCCGTGGGCGGCCCGCTCTGGGCGCTCATCGACGTCTACGGCATCACCGACGAGGTGCAGCTGCTCGGTAGGTGGCGCGCGCGCGCCGGCCGCAGGGGGACCCGCAGAGGCGCGCTGTGCGCGTGGATGCGTCCTTCTGTGCTAGGCACACACAGGGCCCACTGTGTCAGGCGCTGTTCCAAGCAACTTACACATTTTAACTCATTGGTTTCTCACGACAACCCGCCACCCCCGTTTGTTTTACAAGTGAGGAAACTGAGGCACGTAGAGGTTAAATGACTCGCATTGCAAAGCCGGGATTGGAACCTCCCCGGGCGGGGTCCGGAGTCCGCGCTCTGGCCCAGGTTCATTCACTCCCTCCTTCATTCAGGCGCTTGCTCATTCACTCGCCGTTCTTTCATCCATTCCTTTGCTCGTTCCTTTACTCCTTTGTTCGTTTGCTTACTCACTCACTCATTCATTCATGTATTCACTCATTCACACATGTATTTATTCATTTGCTGATTCATTCATTTTACTCACACATCCACTTACTCAGCAGTCAGATTTATGCCTTAATTCTCGAGTATCTACACCACCCAGGCAGTGAGCAGTCATACCAGGTCCAGGCCCCCGTTAGGGGACTCAAGATCCCCTGGGCAGGCAGGCGGGCAGACAAGTGTAGCCCTGGCTCTGACGGAGGAGGCAGCCACTGTTGCTGAAGTCCTGGTGCTGAGAACTCATGGGGGTGAAAGTTTGCTGCCTTTATCTTGAGACCTTATTTCTTTCTCTCTCTTTCCTCTTGTTTTAATTGAGGTAAAATTCACATATCATAAAAGCCACCATTTTAAAGAATTTTTTAAAAATTGTACATGTAAACCGTGTACAATTCAGTGGCACTCAGTTAGCAACCATCATATCTATCTGGTTCCAAAATATTTTCATCACCCCAAAGGGACATCCATACCCGTTAAGCTGTCACTCCCCGTTCTCCCCTCCCCCAGCCCCTGGCAACCACTGACGTGCTTTCTGTTGGTGACCTTAGCTCTTCAAGTCACAGGCTGCATCTGAGCCAACCCAGCCTCGATTTCTGGAGTACAGGTTTCTCAGGTCTCTGGACGCAGCCCTCTATGTCGTTTACCTGCAGTGAATGCACAGATCTAAACTCTGAGTTTTGACAGATTTATGCCCGTGTCCAGAACCCGAGAAGCTTCCCACCTGCCATTTCTGAGTCTGCCCTCCTCTTCCCTAGAGGTAGCCGCTGTCCTGATTTTCCACCATAGATTACTGGCACCTGTTCTTGAACTTCATCTAAGTGGAATCATACAGTATATATGCATTTGTGTCTGCCTTCTTCCTCTCAACACAGTATATTTGAGCTTCATCCACATTGTTGCTATATGTATCAGTAGTTTGTTCCTTTTTTTATTGCTGAGTAGTATTCCATGATGTGGGCGTACCACAGTTTGTATATCTGAATGTTTGGGCTGTTACCCAGCCCCGCTTCTTGAAGGAAAACCCTGGTCTGGGCTCCTTGCCCACCACCACCCCCGACTCCACCATTGGGCAAGGAGGGAAGATGCATGCATCTGGCTGTGCCCTCCCTCCCTCTGCCCCACTAGAAGGAAAGCAGCAGAACTTCTGAGTGGCTAAGAGCAGAGGGTTGGGAGTCACACAGACCTCTGTTTCACAGCTGGCTCTCCACTTGCCAGCTCTGGGGCCTTGGCTAGGTGACTGAACCTCTCTGTGCCTCAGTTTCTTCCTCTGTGAAATGGGTTCATGAGCACCCACCTCATGGGACTATTGGCAGGGTGATGTGAGATGGTGTGGGAAAGTGATGCAGCACAGTGCCCACCACGTGGAAGGCACTCAAGAAATAACAGCTAAGAAATAAGAACCTCTGCCCATTTGCACGTGGGCTGGAGCACTTGCCTGAATTCCAGGCTTAGGCAGACTAGATTGTGAATAGCTACCCACCCTCTAAGCTGGGGCCTTAGTGGGGTATTTTAACCATGTCCCTCCACACTCTTTTCCGTGGAAGGTTTTGGTATTTCACCTCCAGGAAATGGGGGTTTCTAAAACCTCCTGGATCTCCCGTCACTTGTCTTCAGGGCTCTTTATTCCTCCAGAGCAGGGAAGCAATCACGCCTCATTCACCTGCCCCCTCAGACAGCCCATGTTTCGGGGTGACAGCCGAGAAATCACAGCCACTCCGTAATCAGTGCAAGTGGATTTGGATTTTTAAAAAATACAAATTGGAAGCAGTCTCTAATGACTTAATGAGACTGTGTAAACCTGTGAGGAATCGTGAGTTCTTACCCTCAGTCATTTGTACAGTTAACAAACCTTTATTGAGCCCCTCCGACGTCCCACCCCCTTGGAGGGAAGGGAGAGGGCCGGCTGGCACACCGTGTACTGTGGCAGACGTGAGCCGTAGGTTCCTTTTCTGCAGACAGTGCTGGGGCGTGCTAGCTGCCGGGCACACCTCGCACAGGTGCCACAGGGCGATGTTCACAAATACACGCAACAGGGGAAATGAGACAAGAAGGAACTCCATCTCCGGGTGATGGGATCCTAGGTGAATTTCACTTCCTTCTTTGTACCTCTGTGAGTTACCTTTTTTTTTTAATATATATGTTAAAGAGCTTATATTGCTTTTACAATCAGAAAGGGCAATAAAGTTATTTTCCTTTCTGAAGGTTATATAAGATAATAGGGAAGTTTCTGGCAGGTGATCAAGGCTCAATAAATGTTTCTTTCCTGGGGGAAGAGCAAATTGACATTGGTTACATCTGGGTAAAGACATTATGGGTGATTTTTTTTTCCTCTAAAGTTATCAACAATGATTTATAGTCAGAAAAAAAAAGTTATAATAAAAATAAGAAGAAAGCTAAGCAGTCATGTTTTGGTGTGGTTTGAGTCCAGGCAGCAGGTAATAATACAGTACAGGGTGAGGCAACATGAGAACCGCAAAAGCCCACCGTAACTGGGCCCCCCTCCCAATTCCAGAGAACTGGGCTTCCTGAGGGTGGTGTCCAAGGCACCACATGATAAATAAAAGGCAGCCGGCGTTCGTGTTATCCAGAGCCCTCTGGCCGCCTTTTCCTCACAAGGAGCAAGGAGGTGACATAATTCCTTTAGAGATTGTCAGCTGTGAAACTTTGGAATAGAAAAGTCCAGAATAGATAAAGAATCCAGGGCTCAGAGAAGGGAAGTGACTTGCCTAAAACCGCCAAGCTTGTGAGTGGCAGAGACAGGATGGGAACCCAGGTTCGGTGGTTCTCAGCCTCAGCTACACGTTGGGGTCACCGAGGGAGCTCTGAAGACCCCGCTTCCCAGGCTGCACCCAGGCCAATGAAATCTGAACCTCAGTGTGGCTCCCAGGCATCTGGCTCTCTTAAGCCTCCTCAGGTGACCCCGGGGTGCAGGCAGGGTTGTGATCACAGCAGTCTTCTTTGCCTGGATGCCTGTCCCTCCTCCCGCTGGGTGCCAAGCTGAATGCTTCAGACCTCTCAGTTCAGGGCATGGGATCATCACTGGAGCACGCAAGCCCCATCTCTTGCTCTGTTTGACTTTTCTGCTGCATCCCAAATCCCCACTCCCATTCATGCCTTCCCATGCCCAGCTGGGCACCACTCTGGTGTTTGGCATAAGCCCTTGAGTGTGTCATCTGCAAAAAATATGTAGAGTTGTTTTATATGCATATATGGATGGTATTGTGCTAAGGATCTTATTCTGGTTTTCTTTTTTCACTCGCCCCATTTTAAGTTTTGTCTGTCTGGTTCCTTGTTCACCAGCGGCCTCCTGTGTTGATGGGCACCTGCGTTGCCACTAGTACCCCCACACAGGCAAAGTGCACTGTGGGGCACATTCTCCCACAGGGCTGCTCTGTGGCCGCTAATTTACCGTTCTCTGAGGCACAGACCAGGATGGGCTTGCTGGGCCCCAGAGCGGTCGATCCTGAGAGCCTGTGATTACTCTGGATGCTCCTCTGGACCAAAGAGAAGAGGCTGAGCCCAGGCAAATTACTCTCTGCTGAATTTAGCAGTTTCTGGACCCAGGAGAGGAAAGTTCAGCCAGATCATGCACGCCTTTCCCCCTCCTCTCCCTGGCTTTTTCTTGTCTGAGGAAGCCCTCTCCTGGAGTCCTGGAGTTTGAGCCCCATGTTGTCCTGGGACAGCCCTGTCCCTCTTCCAGGCAGCTCAGGAGTGGTCAGTGTCATAGCCCCATTATCCTTCCGTCCAGTGGTGGACGGCTGGTCAGACCCAACAGGCAGTGCCAGCCCAAGGTCACGGCGTTACAGGCTATATTGCCAGAAATCTTTGGTTGCAAGTGACAGAAACCAGTTCAATCTTGTTTAAGCAAAACTAATAATAATAAGGGGGGGGATGGAATTAATGTCTCCTGTGACTGAAAATTCCAGGGAACGGCTGCCTGTAAGCCTGGCTTGATGCTGGGGCCTAAGGAACAGCACCTGGAGTATCGGCCTGCCTGTATTTCTGGCTCGGCTGTCGTCTTTGTTGGTGTCATCCTCAGGCGGGCTCTCTCTTTGGGGTGGGGGTAAGGCCACCGGCAGCTCCGGTCCCATGTCCCACCAACTTAACCACTCCAGTAAGAGAGCTGCTTTCCAGCTAAAGTCCCAGGATTTAGCCTCACTGACCTCCATGGCCAGGGGCTGGAGAGAGTGACCGGCCAGGTTAAGGCCCCTTCTTCAAGGTAATGAGTGGAAGTGGGAGGTAGGGGTGGGGAGTTCCCTCAAAGGAAAAGCTGGGAGCTGGGACCAGAAGAAGGGGGTGGACGCCAGGCAGCCAGGAACAGCAGCTCTGCATAGGCTTTGGAAGGGAGTCATTTACGCATCTCGAAAGCCTCGAGCCCCTCCATTAATTTAGTTACGGGGCACCTACTATGTGCCAGGCCCCATGCTGAGAGCTTTACCTAGGTGATGTCTTCTAGTCCACACAAGAACCCTGTGAGGCAGGAAATAGTATCATCCCCTTTTGCAGGCTCGGCATGCATGGATAATGTGGCCAAGGTCACCTGACAGTTGGCCGTTCTAGAGTCAGTGTTTGTTGGTTAGTGTCATGAACA